GTCCTGCCAATGATGGTGGAAATTTAGAGTAGAGAGTGTCTACCCTCACTCATACTGCCGAGCGCCTGGGTGGTAAATGAGGCCCGTCTTGCAAATCGCGAATTGGAAGTGCCTCTCCTTTCGCTCTTTCCGCATCCTTCGCGACAAGGTTGTCAGCGTTGAGGGGGTCAGATCCCCGGTGAGTGGGACAGACTGCACGGGCGAAAGCGCCGATTGTCCCGAGTGAAGGTTTTGGTAGGGGACCGTCTGTATAGAGACTTCGGAGCTAATTCCTGTTGTAGTTCAGAGGTATGAATTGACTTATTATTTCATAGTGATATATGTGCCTATATATACAACAATGAGCCAAGTTGATTGGAAATCAACTTGGTCGTCTGTATAGACACTTTGGAGCTAATTCCGACGGTGTGGCTTGGTTCCTGATCTGCACCGTCCTCATACCACAACATTTGCGTATAGGAGATGGAACATATCCCGATCAAGGATTTCATGTGTTCCTCACTTGGTGTATTAATGTGGTAGGTGCAAAAGAAGAGTGCTAGAGGCCGTTTTCGGCGCGCAGGCTTAAACGTCGAAGAAGTTTCAGTAAGCTCTTAATACAGTACGACCCAGTCATTATTTCTAAAATTTTGTCATTTTGCCAGGCTATTTATTCAAAATTTGCGGATTCCCGCTACTTGAGACTGTCGGGCACTAAGCCGCGATGGGTCAAGAAGCATACTATGCTGAGCACGTGATATATATCTCGGTCTAAAGGATATTCCTGCGCCGACATCCCAGTCCACCGACAAGATTACTGACTTTTGAAGATATACTTCATTGTATGCCCTAGGCTTACATTCCTGCCGCACTTTCAGAAATGGACAACAATGGAGAATTCAGAACATCGAACTGCTTCTCTCGATCTCCTCCCCACAGAAATTTTACTAATACTCGTGGATCATCTTCGTATCGAAGATGTGAAAATTCTGTCATTTGTCTGCGGAAGGTTGAGAAAAGTTTCTTTGCCGTACATTTTCTACAATGTCTATTTTCAATTTTCTCACTCCGGATTTCACGCATTACGAGAGCTCTTGTTATCTGACCTGCGCCAATACATAGTTTCATTTACTTATACAATTCCAGAGCTGCTGCATCCTGGTAATGACTCTGCAATATATCTTCGTGAAAGCTACTAATTTCTTTTAGCGATACAAAACCTACAATTTTTCAAAGATAATGTCCTGAAGTACGAGGATTATATGGAAATATCCAATGAAAAGTCCAACTGCAATCATCTGGCTCAGATGCATGTCCCGTATCTGCTGGTGTATAATACTTTCAAGGGCATATGCCAAGAGCAACATGCAATCGTGGAGAGTTGCGAGGACTCGACTACTTTGTCGAAAGCTTTCAGAGAGCTTCCTCGATTGAACCAGCTGCGCGTAAATTTCTGCCAAATGCTTATTCAAGATGACTGGTTGACATTTTACATGGACCGGACTGTCACAGAGCACTCCGTTCGGCATCATTTTGAGGTCATTTCAAACGCCTTGAAGGCCGGGAGGGGGAGGGACTTTGGTGTCTTTTTACAGACGATTCACTTATCAGATCTTGAAATGCCCTATTTTTCTCCATTGCGGCTAGACCCAAAGCTGCAGATTTTGAGAGTGCACCTTTGCGATTTGCTCAACTCCGCTTCAAATCTTCGTCTGAGTGGATCTGGATCAGCATTGAGATTACTGGCCTGCATTGATTTGGATCTTCGGCATTTGGAACTGTGTCAATTCACCGTCCACCAGACAGCCTTCTATGAGTTCATGCTAAGTCATGCGCGCTCAATCCGTTCCATTGGATGCCACGGGGTCCGTTTGATTGTCTCAAATCCGACGGCGTTTGGTATAGTCAATTTATCGCCAGAAATATGTGACAGGCTCCTTAGTGTACGTTCTTCCGCAATATGCACAGCAGCTTATACTTGTCTTGTTTGCTTCAAAGAGGGATGGAGGCTGTCGAAGAATTAATACCACAACATGTGATTGGAATATGACAATAAAATCCGGTGATTGATCTTGTCCTTGATTCTTAAATAGGAAGAAAGACTAAGTTCAACTCTCGACATATTCTAGATATTCGTCATGTCATGATTGGTTCGCAAAGCAAAACAAGATCATAAGGACGGTTGCGGAATGAACTCTGGCCAGGCCCTCAAAGCGAACCGACCCTGACTGCTATGGCTGAGCCCATCATGGCCAATATCGCTTGAGAACAGGCATTCTTTATGTTCAATCAGTGGAAGCAATAACAAAAAGCTCGCAGGCTCGCAGTTGCATTCTCGGAGGAGTGGAGTTCATTATAGGTATGTCGGAAACAAGTCCATGCCAACCCTGAATGCATCGCGTTGAACGTCCGCTTGTGTGACGTCAGCTGGAGCGACAACCATGACATGGTTCTTGGTATGCATTTCTTATTTTTATTTTTATCAAATTTACCGATATGCCTCGTTGATTCGAGGCCGTCCATGATTGGCATGGAAATATCTAGAAATGTGTTGAGTACAGCGGGATATCCAGCTTTCCCCAATAGCCCAGCTTCTTCAGCACTGTGGGAAATGGCCTGAGCCAAAATCTGTTATGGACAATGCGTCGTTTCATCATTCAGGGCGAATTGTGCTGATGTGCGCGGACGCGGGGGTGAAATTGGTTTACCTGCCACCCTACTCGCCCGACCTGAATCCGATTGAAGATTTTTTTGCTGAGCTTTAAAGCTTTATTAAACCCGATTGGACTTACTATGAGGTAGATCCCGATCAAGGGTTTGATGCTTTCCTCACATGGTCTATTGAGTGGCTGGTGCGAAAGAAGAAAATGTCAGAGACCATTTTCGGTACGCAGGCTCGAAGATCGAAGAAGGTCGGGAAGTTGCTAGTTGTCATTTGAAAAGGCTCATCTGTTCAAAAGAAAGATTACAACACGAAATGAGCGTAACAGCGTAATGCTGTCGAGCTCGCAGTTTCGTTTTGGGAAAAAGTGAAATGTATTGTGGGTATCACGTTGTGCCCGGTATCATTGACACCAAACTATCCATTTGTACATCAGAAACATATCCATACCAAACCTGAAGGCATTGCGTTGAACGTCGGCTTGTGCTAAACACGTCAGAGGTCTTCAGGTCAGCTACTGCTCCTAATACAGACAGTAGTAGTAGTAGTAGTAGTAGTAGTAGTAGTAGTAGTAGTAGTAGTTTAGTAGTAGTGTTCGTTTACCCTGTCCCCTCGCGAACGATATGCAGGATACAACAACTTTATATCCGAGTATGTACTTTTAGAATGATCCACTTTCTGACATGAACTTAGAGCCTCGTCACGGCCTACCCTGGCCCATTGCCGCTCCCGCTGTTAGGCTGCCCTTGTGGCGCACGACCGCGAAACCTCTGTGACGCCTCGGCGAAATCCAATACGGCCTGAACCGTCTTCGCCCTCGAGGCGGTGTCTGGATTACCTTTCTCACCTTCGTTTGAGCCTCCCAGCAGACTCGACACGCTGTTCAACGCGTCTCCAACAGCACCCCCGTTGGTGCTCTGCACAAAGCCACTGCCTACACACTATTTATGGCCCCGTTACTTCAGACCACACATCATGCCCTAGCTGGAGTGAATCAAAGCAGCATCCAAGCAAAGGTGCGAATATCCGATTGCGAGCGTGAGATGTCCATTCTTCCTGGCAATGTGAGTGATTCATCGCCCCCTCTGCTGCGCTATATCAAATATTTGTGCAATTCTTGTGCTCCAAAACACGAGCACCATAGCCCATAGCAGCCATCGCCACTGCGAAACATACCTGTTGGGAATTCTATCGCCGGATCGGAGATAAGACCACGTCACTACGACGCGTGATCCATCGCGTCTTCCGCCTCAACCTCACCGCCCTCACACCATGAACGGCGAAGTTTATAAATTGTCCCCATCACGAGGTTTTATCCCATTACGGCTGTACACTTTCCCGTCACAGGTGGTTCGTCACGCGCCTTTGGCTCTCAGAAATTGCCCGGTACACCCAGCGCGCCTTCTTCGAAGCGACAACCGGAGAGTGCGACAAACTGGATACAACATCATGTCAATATGGCATGAATGGTGACGCATTGATGAAGACAATTCCAAGTTATTTCGTCGGTATGATATGACCACGAAGCTGATTGATCGTTTCGTGTCAAGCAAACGTTCTGCGAACTTCATGAACAGGTAAATCATAAAATCTCGTCCAAGTGGTAAGCCTTACTGACTCGGATCGTACAACAGCGCCCCTTACAGTCCCGTCACTCGAGTTGAATGCGAAGCGAGCAAACTTGTCTGCTCGAGCTCCTCTATACCGATGCGATCGCAAGCTATCTGTCCCTTCCTCGTGACCACTGGAGGCATGGACGAGGAATGACTGGAATGTTCACATCGTCTAGGCCCTGCTCTCAGTCGACACTCTGCACCAGTAATGTGCTGATGTGTCTACCGATATAAAGTCCAAGGCATAATGGGCTAAACTACTGTCTGTCTCAGTATTCGAACATCGCGAAAGAATAGGTTCCTTGTAGACGGAGCCGTGCATCGAGGCGGCCGCAAGAAGAATGGTGCCTGCTTAGTGCGGTACCTGTCCCGTGACCGAGTGATGACATAAATCACCCGCAAACCTGCCGCTTGCTTGCTCTACTTCAGACAAAAAAGCCACACCTTGTACGAATAGAAGTTATTTTGTTTGCCGCAGAACGTTTTCCACTCAAAAGTTCCCCGCTCCAACTTTATAACAATCTGGCTTTCTTCCAAACCACTTTTTCCAAAATTCGAAAGCAAGCAATGACTTTCCGAGTCTGCAAATTGTTTCCGAGCGGCCTGCGATAGAAAGATCTCCTTCCTCCCACCCTTCCCATCCGCCGACTATCTCTACCAGCGTCATAATAACATCTGATAAACGATTTTTTGAGCCGACCTTACAAAAACGCTAGGGTAGCGGCTACTTGCCAGCTCCCGCTGAGATGGCGCCCCGCCGTGTTTGGGTCAAGCGATCGGCTTGCTCCGCGACCTTGGTATCATATTTGGAGAATGCTGTTGTAGATGAGCTGCGCGACCAGGTGATAAGGAAATATGCCAATTCCTTGGGGAGGAAATTTGATTCTCCTGATATAATGACCACAATTACTCCTCGGCAGGACTTGAACCGACAGGCCCAACAAGAGCGTCTCCTCAACCCGGATGAAATGTTGTCATCTGTGCTCGACACATACTACCCTGGTGGCCAGACAATAGAAGAGGCGCTGGTGATTGACGTGCCCACGCGCTATGACCCGAGGCTATCACCACGTTATACATTTCACAGTCACGACAATTCGGAGTCTGGCAAGCATGGCGACTCATTTCCTCTTGAATTGGGGAGTAAAAATGCAACGGTGCCACCTCCGCGCCCATCAAGTTCGCTAGCTGGCGCCGAACCGCCATCTCGCTCAGTATCTACTACTGATGTGGTCCCTTCGCTGCCGTCGCCTGGGAGCCTTGGGTCGCAGCATACTTCAGATTCGCCAGTGACGCTTTGTCAACCACCCACCATGCCAGGTATGCTGATATTCTGCTTTTATCTTTATTCTCTGGCGGACATAATGATTGACATCCATAGAGCCCGGCAACTCTTCTCATGACGAAACTTCACCCGCTGCCTTGGCCCCGACTGCCCCAATATCGCCCACACTAACGACGGAGTCACCGAAGGCAAAAACACACACGTCCCCTGCACCAGCCGCATCTCCACTATCTCTTCGAACAAGGGAAAACTGTTTATCTCCAGGTGCAGCCCTTGGCGGCTTGATTGATGGCACTGTACCGCCAATCAATGTCCTCATCGTGGAGGACAACATCATCAATCAGAAGCTGCTGGGAGCATTCATGAAACGACTGAACGTACGTTGGAAGTTTGCAGCTGACGGCGAAGAGGCGGTGCGGAAATGGCGACAGGGCGGTTTCCACCTTGTGCTGATGGACCTCCAGTTGCCCATCATGAACGGGTTGGATGCTACTAAAGAGGTCCGGCGGCTCGAGCGACTGAATGGAATTGGCGTCTTTTCTAAGGCAGATTCTGGTCGCTCCAGTGTCTCAAGCCCTATCGCAAAGTCTCCATTGGAAAAGGGACCGGGATCTCAGCGCTCTCCAATTGAAGAGGACACTCTGGCTAATATCTCTGTGTTTCGTAGCCCGGTGGTCATTGTCGCGTTGACGGCCAGCAGCTTGCAAAGCGACCGTCACGATGCATTGGCTGCTGGATGCAATGATTTCTTGACTAAGGCACGTTCTAATAACCCCAAGTCTCTCTACTGCAGTCAGTACTAACTACAAAAAAAGCCCGTGAGATTTCCATGGCTTGAGCAGAAGGTGACGGAATGGGGCTGCATGCAGGCATTGATTGATTTTGAGGGCTGGCGGAGATGGCGCGGGTTCATAGACTCGCCGCGATCCGCCTCTCCCACCAATGACAGCGGTGCTGGCAACGAAAATGACTCCAGCCCGATGCATACAAATGTATAATTGCGAATCGATCCACAATAATAAGGCAGTTGATCGATCTCTATCTACAGCTTATGCGCATGTCTCTAGCGCACTGGGCTCTCTTGGCACCACCCTTGACCATCTATGGCCGCTATCCTACAAGCTGTTATTCAACAATTCCCATTTATTCACATTGCACACATTTTTCTAGGATTCTGCCTATGAACAAAGCAGCGGCCAAGTAGTATCCAGCTGAACAGGGGCAACTCCTAGGTTAACTACCCCCTCGAACATTAATATATAAATATCAACTCTATCCAAAGGAGTGGAGAGTCTCAGGTGCAGCTGAACTCAATGAAGGCTGTTTATCCTTTGTCTTAGTGATGCTGTCATTAAAGCTTGCGGCACCGCAAGGTCCAAAGAAAAACACAAATTGACAGCGTTGTCCCGAGAACTCGATGATTCTTGCCACTAGCTTCATGCTCGGATCCAAGGCTGCTAACCTCAACTGAGCTGTATGCCCATCTACCAGAAACAAAATGATACACAGGAACGAACTGTCACCCGGTGGATATAGAGGCTTGATATATATACTCACCACCCACACACCAAATATGATTAACATCTGCGTAAATCAGATTCCTCATCGGAATGCTTGCAAATATACATCACCCCACATATCTAAGAACAGGGTCTATCGATTTATTAAGCGCCTTCTAAATGACCTAGCCCTCGCCAAATAGACCAATTGAACAGTATTGACTTAATGCAAAAGACCTTGGAGTATCCTAGCGCTGGCATGATATTTTTAGATTCTTAGTGGAGCAATATCTAAAACCAACAAAACTGGCTTCCAACTTGACCAAGGGAAGCCCCAGAGAAACAGAATTGAGGTGAGATTACTGTAATTTACGGCAACTTAGCAAGAACGAATGTAAGACTGGCGGAATTATATCCTAATAAGGATTAGTGCACTTAAAATGGGGCCCTGGTCTTGTAGCAAGTGTAAGGTAGTTGTATTGTTGTGGAGTTGTGTGGGTCACAATCCAGTAGTGCCCTGAAACGAACGAAGTGAGAGAAAGGGAACTAATCAACGCGGATGTACGTGCGCGCGAGACGTTGCAAAAAGAGGTGGCTTAACTATGTATGGACTGTACTGCCACGCGCGCCGCCCATTCGCCCCTGCTCGCCCTGGTACCTGCATTATTGTTGCCTGATTCGTACTTGGCCTGGCTTGGCTTTAGGGTTGTAGGGCTATTTCCGCTCCTTTGGGCTCGCTATTCTGCTATGATTGCTCCGAGCCCTGCACCTTGCCTATCGTTTTACTGCTACGCGCTGTTATGTATTACCACCAGAATGTCTCTAGTCACTATGTCATTGTTACGTTTTACCCCTCATCACTCTTTTGCGTCACGCCAGCTTTTTGTCTCACCGACTACAGAGTTCAAGTTGCGATACTTAAATCCGCTATCTTGGATTTCAAAGATGATCGCAGTAATCGACGTCAGGACTCCCACCGGAAATATTGCTCTACAAACGTACAACTGTCTTGCCTACGTTCGCTAACAAGTCTTCATTTTTCGCAGCTACTCGATATGCCCTGAGTTCCTTAGTGAAATGCAAAGATCGTAAGCACTAGGACTAAGTCTCACTGCATGGCAAACCAATATTCCCGATTATCTCACAATATCCCTAGTAAACTATCTTTACGTCTTGCTCACAGGAATGAAATTCTATATTCTCTAAGTCACGCAGCTCAAATGCGAATGCTACGATCGAGAGAACGGCGTGTATTGCGGTAGCTATATAAGAATTTGTCAGGATGAGGAATTGATGTACTGGCTGGTACTGAACATGTCCAATAGAATCAGGTGATTGATTGTAGGTGTTAAAGATCGGTTGAACTAGACCTGGCATTACACCGCCCACAGGTGCGGAGGTACCGCACCTACACCTGCACCTGAACCGAACCTGAGGGTCGACAGGTTCGGTGCAAGGTTACCCTCATCAACCCGCATATGCATAAATTTCTGACACCTTGCCCCTTTTGGCTGAATAAAATGGATGATTCATCTCTGTTTTTTACACTTGTTCCGTTGCCCTGAAGCCATATCATTGAATACTCTATGAATATAAGGATTTATGAATGAATACTTATGTAAAAATAAACAGTAGTTACTGTTACCTATAGCCCCTAAGTAAACACAAATAATTTAGACGTTGGAAGTGGTCAATAAGAGTTATTGACAAAATACCATGTAAAGTTGTAGAAATATATATCGAGTATGCTGTTTAATTTACGTATCTTCAAAAGCAGAACTGAAGTTTTGTAGTGGGGACTTTAAGATATTGTCAAAATCACATTATTTTAATATCATTTTAAATGTCAAATCTTCTTCTATCATTTTGTCTTGAGGAATTTAGAATATCTAACACACATAGATCATGAATCAAGTTCAAACTTCCCAATTGTTAGACTTAGCCGTTCTGATCATAATATTTTCTCAACCTGAGAATTATACCTGAGGTGTACTGAGGTGTAGTGAGGTGCGGTGAGGTTTAATCAGGTTTACCCCTGAGGTGTAGTGAGGTGCAGTGAGGTGCAGTGAGGTGCAGTGAGGTTTAATCAGGTTTACCCCTCAGGTGCAGTAAGGTGTAGTGAGGTGCGGTGGGGTTACTATACAGATTACTAAATAAACCAACCAATAGGATCTACTTATAGGTATTAAACATGATAGATCAATCCTGACATCCTGAGCAGGGCTAAACAGAGGCCCCAAGAAGATCATGTATCTTTTCATGTAAAGCAATCAGTACGTTTTTTATCTTCTTCTTCTCTGGTATCTAGCTAACTGAACTAACTATGTCTCAGCTATCCGACATCTACCCATCGTCTCACTTCAATAGTTCAGACGGGGTGTCATATAACGCGCTACATTTCCTCCTCCCCGAAGACTCCCTCTCCCAACGCGAAAGCCAGAGCCAGAGCCAGAGCCAATACCAATCTGAAAGCCAGTTTGGATCAGTTCCGGATCTTCTAAGCCCTCAGTCACACATTACACCACTCGCTCCAGACACCCTTACCCGAATTAAGCCTGACCGTATTATCGAGTTTATTATCTGTACACCAGAAATGACAAAGGAGTTCGTGGATTGGTGGCTTAAGACTGGCTATGGTAGGTCAAAGCAGAATCTTAGTTGGGATATAAGTCCTACCAAACGTCGTGCGGATTGCTGGAAAGGGTTTCAACAAGTTGCAAACACCAAAGATGGAAAGCCAGGTTTTATGTGCAAACGTTGTCGCACAGTCCTCGCGCATCCAGCTCCAAATCATACAGGGACATCAACAATGCAGAAGCATCTTGATGGTCCAAGGTGTAGACAACGAGTGGCACTCCAGGGAACTAGTAGTATCCATCAGCTACTTAGTGACGCAGTATGTTTAGTCTATATTTCTTGTTGAATATTAATACGAATCCTCAATTAACTATATTTCAGGCCGAGAGAAGACCAGCACCTACCTTTACACAACAAATATGGGAGCAGAAGCTACTTAACCTGATCACCGTATCACATTTACCGTTCCTCTTTGTTGAGCACCAAGAATTCCACGACCTTATCTCTTACGCCCGACTAGCACCTACACTACCAAACATCCCATCAAGAAAGGTCATTCGTGAGCGTCTCCAAGAGTTCGCCAAAGATTCTCAACAAAAAACTCTACAACAGCTCCCACCTAATGCAAAGATGTCGATTGCCCTTGACTGTTGGACCTCACCATTTAAACATGCATTCATGGCTATCACAGGATACTTTTTAGACCAGGAATGGGAGTATCGTGAGGTACTTCTTGGCTTTGAGCCAATTTCTGGTACTCATTCTGGCGTTAACCTTGGTGAAGTTGTTATTCGGATTCTACAACAGCACCAGATCATTCACCGTATACTTGCGGTGACAACTGATAATGCGTCTAATAATAAGACACTTATCACAGCGGTGAATGAGTCAATAAAGGATCTACAGTCAGACCCGGAGATAGATTCGACAATTGTTCAAGTGCCTTGTCTCGCCCATGTTATTCAACTGAGTCTATTTGATTTACTTGGTAAGATCAAGGCTTCGCCGAGGAATGATAATCCCGAGTCAGAATTACCCGACGATCGTTTACGTCAACTCCGCTCGCGCCAACAGAAACATGAGATCGCTGATACATTAAACAAGGTATGCTTCTATTTATGAACTATGAATAATACTCACTATTACTTGTAGGTCCGGGGTCTTGCAGTCTTTATCAACGGGAGCCCTCAACGCAAAGAAAACTTTTTAAACCTCCAGTCCAACACTCAGTTACAGCTCCTCCCAATCCAGGATGTTCGTACAAGATGGAACTCGACGTTCCTAATGCTCCGGCGGGCAAAAAGGGTTTATACTACGTACAATTCGTACTGTGTGGACTTCAATCAACCCTGTTTCGCACTAAGTTCGGAGGGGTGGCGACAGATTGACTATCTACTTTGTATCCTCCAGCCCTTTTTCACGTTCACCACATTGGTATGTCGTACCAAAGACTCGAGTATCCACCTTGTCTTCAGGATCTACAACAAGCGTCAATATCTCAACTTCGGCGGAAGAAGGTTTACTGGAAACAAATGATGCTCTCTTCTCTGGAAGCTGCAAAAGAGAAATTGACAAAATACTATGGTATGACTGATAGTATTGAGGGTGATCTATATGCAATTGGGACAATCCTAGCACCGTCGAACAAAATGCATTTCTTTTCAACAAGTGATTGGGACCCAGATCCTGAGACTGGAAAGGACTACAGAAAGGAATACCGATAATAACCCCTGGATCAGACAACGGATATAGGGTTTGATGTGTGTTGGCCTCTTTGGTCCAGCTATTGCCCAAGAGTACCCGCAGCTCGGCATCAAGACATGTAAGGAATTGCCACCTGTACGACCGCTTTGGAATACTGCACGAGGCTGTATGTCAAGACCAAATACATGCCGTGGAGACTGGGTTGCCAAGACTGGGCCATCCCAATTCTCTCAAGAGGGCGCAAAGCGTACAGAGCACAGCCGAATAGGTTGATGAGCACCAGTCGGCCAAATGCAGCGGTCAGTGGGGAGGGAGCGTGGAGCGGCTCAGCCAACGCGTGACCAAGGCCAACAAGCCCAATGACGCAAATTGGAGAGACAATCGACCGGAGGATACCCCCGTATCTATATCTTTGAGATAAATGTCAGAGATGCTTCCAACAGCGATCATGGTGAAAGCCGATGTGTATCCAAGTTGTAGCAATGGTTGGGCCGGAAAGAGAAAGGCAATCGTCGGAAGTGCTGCGGTCCAGACCAGAAACGGACCAACAAACCACATCGAAGCTTGCCCGTTTGTCGCTTCTTCCTTGTGAAATGCATTGAAGACATTCTGGAAGACAACACACAAGTACCACACGGCAATTCCTCCACCGAACGCGATCACTGCTAGAGCGTATGGGATTGACTCTTGAGTTGAAGGGAAATGAAAGACCAAGAACATTAATAGGTCAATCACAAAGTAGGAAAACCCGAGCATGCCTATGATGGCACCGATGGCACAGTTGCGCAGGTTTCGATAATCGAGAGTGTCCATTCTGTAAAGTCAAAGTAAGTGTACTGGCCGTTTTCGGCAGGATTCTTCGGCGAGCTTGTGGTCTTATAGACAAATGTGTTTGACTGTAGCTGCACTCATTGCCTGGGAAAATAGGTGTTTGTTAAGACGGTTGAAGGGTTGAGATAATGCTTTGTGCAGTGTTGATCACCAGAGCGATAAGTGAGGTACCGTCACATTTTTAATGACCACCACTCACAGGTTCAATTAGAACCTTAGAAAAGTGCATTTCTGTGTTGAATTGCCAAAGAATGTTTTAGTCTCAACGAGATCCAAACTGCTCAACTTCCATTTGTGTAATTGATGTTCCTCATTATGCAAGGCAGGACCTGAGAATCAAATGTGATTATTCCTTCTCTCTTGCATGATAGCGCCTCAGACAAACAAACAGAATGGAAGACATTGTACAAATTGTACGTCAGATCGGTCAACAGCAAGCACAGAATGCTTATTACCGTGATTGCTATGCCCTCTTCAAGCTACTCCAAGACCTCACGGAGCACACGTCCAACGAACTACAACGGCTTCACAAAACCGGCACCGAGCGCTCCAACAATTCTGTGCATCAAGTGCTCCAAAATTTCAAGGACACAATCTGCACCTTGGTTGAAAAGGCTTGCCAAGCCCAAGCGGAATGTGAAGAGTTTTGCTCAGTGAATGCATCATTCTCAGCGCGGGATGTCTTGGAGCCCATCAGAAGGATGTACACCGACCCACAGGTCTCATCGCAAAGCAGGGATTCACTGTGGAACATCTGCAGGTAGCGTTGTAGCCTGGGTCGATGGAGGGAGACTTGCTCTACTTGAGTAATATTCACAAAGACGAAATTCCCGTGTTCCTATCTATTCGCATGAGGACAACAATAATGTATCCTATATACCACAGCAGTTTGGAGGTCGTATACTATTTAGGAGCTCACGAACACATATTACCATGACTCGGACACAGCGATCAAGCAGTTCCGCTTACCATAGAATGTGCAACATAAAATTAAGCAATGTCGCAGGTCACCAACAGTCATGGACCATATAGACAATTTGCCAATTCTCCCCAGCCTGATGATGGTCTACGGCTTGAAGATTAGATGCAACAGCAGAAAAGAAGGACCAGCCATATGGTTGAACAGCCAATAGAAAAGAACACCGCCAGCCATGCTGTGGTCAATGGGAATCATGCGTGCCCAAGCACATCGATGGCCAGAAGCTAGAGCAGGACAACCTTGTTTTGAAGGAAGCTGGTGCGATCCTGAGAAAAGAGAGGGACAGTCTTCAGGTTCGCCATGATAAGCAGCTATTCCGGCTGCGCTTTTTTGAGCAGGCATTGGAATTATCTCGGGAGAAGCTAGTTAGCGTATTTGATGACTGGAATCACCCTTCCAGACTTATCTCGCAGAGTTCTTGGATAACGCAAGAGGAGAATGAGGGATCGGCTACGTGTATTTGGAATCATCTTTCATATTACTTAAAAGCAGAAATACTACAATGACGTCGAATTGAAAGAGAATCACACCATGAAAAGAAGCTTATATTCCTTGTGTCTGCGAACAATCGCCCATCTTATGGACCAGTTTCAATTGCAATCACCCAATATATTATGCACAAAGAAACTCCGGATTCAGGGACAGTGTCGTCTGTAGCGTACCTAGCGGGGAAAGTGTCGATTGACTCGAGTATTATGCAGGTTCCATACGAGGCCACAGGGAAAGTCGGAAACTAGTGCCTATTGCCCCAAAATCAGGCCGGGCAATCGTGTCTAGCAACTGTCCGCGTACCCGACAGAGATTCCCCAGGGCCGTTTCAATTCTGGGTAGGATGAACAGGCGCTCTCCTATCCTCTCGCCAGTTTTCCGGTCAAATCGCACTAGTCGAAACTCTATCCAGTGCACTTCTATAGGGAAAGCGAACGCTGACATGTAGAAGAACATGTCGCTAGCCTGAGTAGACATGGACAGAGGATCTGGACCCATCCACTTGAAGGCCGGCAGCTTGTCGTAGGTGGGGTGCACAAAGCATTCGATCACGGAAGAACCTTGAATCCCATATCCTGCAGGCTCACCTTCATCCGAGGAAATCTGTCGAGCCTTACCGGGGTCGGTGGCGAGACAGGGGGCGGCATCGGTATGCCAGAGGAGTCTTGCCAGATGGCGTGAAGGTCGAAATCCAAATCACAGTCTACCAATTTTAACACAAGGCAATTACCGAAATAACGGGTACAGACCATTCTTGTTCGATTCGTACATTTTTGTTCAAGACTTGACGGCGAAGACTAGCGGTGAAATATAGAAGTGAAGAAAGTAGCAATTTGACGAGGGTTGGGAGGGGCAGAATGCCGCAGGGTAAGCAGGTAATTGATATATCTTGATAACGCAAGTTTATGGAAATTAGGAGGACTTGATGGCCAGATGCTAACTTGTTGAAAACCAAACGCTTGGTGAATTAACAGGCGTGAAACGTTGACACCCCGTCACCAAATCCAACAAAAATTACCGGCGGTTATATGGGCCTCTAAAAGAGGGATGATATTTGGGATAGAATGCAGTGGATAGCAGAACTCTTCAGGTGTCGCTATCGCCCACGAGCGCTTAACAACACCGAGGTCTCATCAAGGCCCATCAACATGACAGGCTTGAGTATCGCTCGCATGCAAGGCTGAAACGACGCCATTGCAAAGTGCTCGAACTGCTCGCTTTCGATCCCACAATATCAATGCCTGCCCATCACAGAGCTGTAGAAGGATGTCGCTGTTGCTTGCTAGCCACTCATTTGACTCTTGAAGCTGTCGCTGCTCTTCCTCGAGTCGTATCTTCTCGGCAGATTTGACAACGTAGTATTCCCACAGGCAGAAGTAGAGGTCGAGCAGTTTGAGGGCTGGTGTAGCCAGGGCGTCGTTGTAGTGTAGAAGCTTCATGAACTCCGCTGCAAGGAAACAGGGTGTGCGCACTGGAACCTATGTAGTATTAGTGATCTTGTTCGTTTGCTATCGGGGGGTATGACCGACCTCGGGTTCGATGGTTGCAGCATCTGAAGATTGCTGTGGGTGGCTTTGCAACTTGTTCTCATCTTTTGGGTCTTGGGAAGCCCTGCACTGTCTCTTAGCTGGCCGGTCACACGAGGAAGGTGAAGTCGGATGGTCCATCGTGGTCTCTGGAATAAAATGCAAGAGATGTTGTGCTCGAGAGTCTTTTATAGACTGAGAAAAGCCACTCCGAGGCTGCTGTCATTGCCACCCATGTCCGTTCCGGTCTGAGTTCGACCGTCTTTAAAAGAGTCAGTGAACGGTTAGTTGACGCTCGATCTCACCTGCTGTTCACCACTAATTGCTCAATTTAATGTGGAAATGGGCAACAGACCAAGCCTTGAGACAAAAATTTGTAGGAAATACCTCCTCATGATAGTTTGCAAGTGCAATTTTGATGGATTGGATGGTATAAAACAGCTAGACTTCGTTGAAGCTGAACGTGGCATTACTGTGAATAAACCTGTTCAGCGGGGAGATACAAATAATTAATTCCGAGACTTCTCGGCAAGTGATGCTGAGAACAGCCTTTTGGTATTGCATCACGACAGGTGTAGATGTCGCTAACGGTACAAACCACCAAACTTCATCCCCGGAGACCGCCTCAACAATGTTTGACGAGAGTTGTCGACTTCCATTCTGTTCTGAATAGCCCTCTGGGTGCAGTCGTCTCTTGCTAGCTCAAGCGATCTCTTCAAACTGAAGCTTTTGAGTCTGGCGTTTGCCAAAAGAGCATTAACAATCGAGAAATGACCATCCTTGACTGCCAACATCAATGGATCCTTAAAATATTCATTCCGGAGGTTGACATCAATTTGGTGATGGAGTAATAGTGCCTGGACCATCTCCAAGTCACCACCACGGGTAGCAATGCAGAGGGCAGTGTCGTGAGATGCGATCGTGCTTTCATTGATGTTCAGACGTGTGCCTTGTTGCACTAATAGCCTGACCACATCGTGATGGCCGTGTGTAGCCGCTCGACAAAGTGGCGGATCTATTGAACCCCTCCCATTGATCTCCACGTTCCCCATATTCAGTAGACAAGCAACCGTGTTCACGCGTCCGTGACATGCGGCAATGGAGATTGGAGAGTGACCTGCAACGCAGAGATTCGGATCGATCTCTGGCACCGCAAGCAGCCGTCGTAGAAGCACGGTATCCAATCTGGCCGCGGCGTGGTGTAGAGATGTAGACGGCATTTCGAATCTCCCATGGCCCCCAATAAGACTAACGTCGATGTCTTTCTCGGCCAACAGCCTTTCGGTTATCTCATAGTAAGACGAGTAAGTAGAAAGCCAAAGCGGCATATTTCCGTCTTTGTCTGTGCAGTTCACATTGGCACGCGGGTGACTCAGAAGCAAATCGACCACTTCAGTGCGATTGCTTTCGATGGCGAGATGGATCGGCGTATAACCCTTCCGGTCCTGGGTGTCTAGCACCGGGTCTTTTCGTCTTAGAAGCCGCCGGACAGCGGCTACAGAACCATGGGCGACTGCTTGATGCAGCGGTAGCGGAGTGTCCCGTGATGAGTGAGTTCCAAGAAACAAGTCGGAGTCGGGGTCGTTGAAAAGAATCATTTTCATCACGGGTCTATTGAACTGGCGTGCCCAGGCCCACGGCGAGTCGCCTGAAACATCCTGTAGATCAGGGTTGCTACCTCTTGACAGCAGAAGATGTACGAACTCTATCCTACCAGCGAAGACCGCTAGGTGGAGCGCCGTTCGGCCGTGTTTGTGTTTGATGTCCACTCTGACTTTGGGTTGTTCTAAAAGTCTCTTGACCATGGAGTAATTTCCATAGTGTATGGCATACCACAGCGCAGTTTCGCGCGCTTGATTTTGAATGTTGATGTCTAGCTCTCGACGTTTCAGCAAGAGCTCACGCATTGCGGCGGAAGAGTATTGAAACACCCTCATCAAAGGTGCTTTCCCTCGGTAAAAGGCATTGATGTTGGCATTGTGCTGGAGCAAAGCTGCCGCAAGATCAACATTGTCGTCTTTGACGGCCAGGTGCAATCGATTGCTGTTCTGGAATTTGATGTTATATCTCCAGATGCTGGGCTGGAGTCTAAAATCAAGGTCTTTGCACGATTTTGCAAGGGCGAACATGGCACTACCATTCAAATGCGACACAATCCACAGCAAAAGCTCGTTGGGCAGGTCTCTGATGTTCGGCTATAATGTATTAGCTCATCGGTAAGCCCGGTAAGAATGAGTTGAAACAAACCATGATTGGACAGCGGATTGGAGCTAGAAGCAAATGAAGTGTAGGTGAGGGTGGGGTGAGAGTTGTGAAAGTTGAATATGGGAGGCCTTTATATACTCGCCTCGGCTAACTCCCATGGCCCGCTAGGAGCGTAGCTTGTGGCTCCGCTGAGAGCTGCGTAGCAATCGCACGGGAGCATCAAAGCCTTGACAACAATGTTCGTGGAAAATTTCTAAAGTCTAGCTCCTGGGAACACCAAAGTTGTTCCTAGTGGCGTGTCAAGGGCCCCGGGAGACCGAATCTCTCGCAGTACCACTTCACGCATCTATCGCCATAAGCGTTGAGGCAAATCACGACCTGCATGCACTTCGAAATGTAAGGAAGTATCTCTCAATTTTGCCGACTATGCTACCAACAACAGTTGCCAATCCTTCTGCCAATGCATGGTCATCGCAATCTACAGTCATAACTGTAGCTGATTTGGGCAGCAGTGATCTGGAATGATATCTCTTCTCGCAGGCCACTGATCGGCCTATACCAGCGCATACTGTATCCAAATGCATTCTTCGACGCATCGACTGTTTCAAGGAAGCATTCCATGTTAGCATCCACGCAGACATCTAGGCAAGGAGCCTACAGCGATAGCATATAAAGCTGGCGAGGGAACACCGCAGAGATTCCCCAACACCAACTCCCATTCGACGCAGTATCTGCCTTTGACTACCACCTCAATGTCTACCATGCTGCCTTGGAATCCCTTTCTTGTTTGTGAGATAGAAGTCAGCCCCAGCGACGGTCCTGGCTCCTGTTGTGGGACGACGAAAAAAGGCGCTCCGTGCAAAGGCTCTCCGTGCAAAAACTCAATCAAATGTCAGGATACCAAGTTAGGCCATCAGAAGCTGAACATTCTCGCCAGAGAGCCGTTGCGACATTTCAATTTTGCAATCCAAGCTCTGCGGTATTGCTAAAGAATTTCTTTGCGCGAGATGGCACCGGCAACGGCAGGCCGACCAAGTTGGCCAGCAGTGGTATGAAGCCGCCGTCCGCAACCAGGCGCGAGAACCACATGGCTTCAGAATGGCTTCCGTATCAGTCATGGAATATCTGGGGTCGGTACGAATGCCTGCACCAGGGTCTCTCTGGTCCTTTTCCAGGTCGATCAAAGCTCGAACAACCGCGACCTAGCCTCTCCCCGTCGTCAATGCCGGACCCTATAGCCGCCGTCGTCTTTCGAGTTGATTTGGTTGATCACAAAGTAGGCCAACTGTCTTTTGTCTTGGGATACTTGAGGTTTTTGATTCATCCATGCTATAGATTAAGCAATATTGCCTGAGCAAGAGGGTTTTCATTAATGGATTGGTACATGGTGGAACCTTGAGTCATCGAAGAAACGATTATGAACATTAAGATTGGTCGCCGGATAAAGAGGTGCGTGAAGGTCAAGGGTACGGGAGGCGCCACAATAACCTGGTCACGTGTGACTGATCGCCTTAGACACCTACATTTCAGGCCACAACAATCTGTCGAGGGAAAATTACTGAGGATGCCCCACATGCTTGTATTGAATATGTTTTAATCTTAGTCAGCTGTAAACCCCATACACACTGCTAGAACTAGGGGTAATAAAAGAACAGAGTCGTCATCTATTTCAATTGGCTGGTTAGAACCACTATCGAATATGATAGCTAAATATCTCCGAGCACACTAGTAATATTGCGGTCCACTATACTCGACATTTCCTGGTAATGTCGTATGTAAGCTCCTCTTCTGTAGATCCTCTCCGAAACGGGTTCTAGTGGTAATCAACCACTGACGGCAGGTAGGGCGGCTCGAGCGGACTTACGATCGCCGCGACCGACGATAGGGTTTCTCTTCGTTGCTCAGCGCGAGGGTGTTGCGTACATGAGCGTACGGATGAAGGATCAAGCTAAAGTTTGATATTTGCTTACCGCAAAACAAATGACAAATTTCAGTAGCTTCATGAAGAGCTGGACAGCCGTTTCCGTCGAATCTTTCCCCTCATCTTCCCCGGATTTTTCAGCGGCACAACAGTTGTCGTCCCTACACACCACTGCCTTCACCTTGAAAAATGGCGTGTTGGGCGTCACGGCAAGTCGAAAGAAGCTCAGTCTCAGATTCCAGGAAACTGACAAACATAAGGAAGCACTCCCAATCCAAAAGTGATTCGCGACAGTGCACTGCGCAGACAGATGTCCCAGCCAAAGCCAGCGCGGCCGTTAGTAGATGGTCGGTCGAGCCGGCCATGACCTCACCAGAAGCGCCTGACCGTCCTGCCATTTGGCAGTCTCCAGTCCCACATGACATATCCCTGTCGCCGGAATCCCCTTCCCACTCGCGCCCGGTTCATCGACAGTTTTATATGCAACCCCTTCAGGACAACTTGCTAGACTGTAAAGTTTGTCGCGAGTCGGATGCTTTCTGCGATCACTCTCGGCCGCAGTGCTCACACTGCTACCAACAGCAAACCCTTTGCTTCTACGTGACCCCCGGGCAGAAGTCCAAGAGCAAGGCTGAAATCTGGAGTTGGTTGGAGCAGACCTCACGCAAATGATAGTTGACGAAGATGACGAGAGACAGAAACAAGGAAGTGGTTGTGGGCGTGGATCAGCCAGCTATCTACCTCGACACTGCATGTGTTGTCAGTTTTTACATAACCTGCGGCTATATGCCCCGGGCATACGGAGGGGCCTGCTCGCAGAATTGCCTAACTCTTGTGCTAATGGATGTCATGTCACTATTGGAACTAGAGTTGAGGGATAAATGTCTTTAAAGCTTGTCCTTATACCATTCTCATTCTTTTGGGTCCAGAATTTCTTTTGCGGTCGCCCGCAGCGGCAAGCCCATATAACAGATAAGGGTAGACCTCGCCAATGTCCATATGGCTGGCCCATGGATGGACATGTCCAAACCGGTCCTTGGGAGCCCAGTTTGGACAGTCCTCTGGTGTCTAGTGGGCGGGTTGAGGGGCACCCAGTCCGCCCACCTAGACGCCCTAGAGAGCCCAATGGGACAAAAGTGGTGACAATGTAATATGCATAGAGATATGTAAATTTTGCTATAATCAATCGTCCTTAGGCTACGCCCGTAGACAAATCCTTGGAGGAGCCGTTGTATTTGTATACGAATTCCTAGAGGCGGTATACGTATACCAGAGAGCACGTTCCGCATGTAGTGAACGTTCAAATCCAAACGTAATAACATCAACGCAACTTGCTCGGCATCAAGGGCAGCCAGCTGTTACCTTATCAGCCCTTCTCTGGGCCCCCTGATTGCCAAGACTGTGGGGTAATTTTATACTCAGCCCCAAACAGAAGGTTCTGAGGCTTGGATCTTACGCCAAAAATAGAAGCTAGTCCTTCTGGTATGGACTAGGGTTAAGCTTTAAGGGCTACTCCCTCACACTCCAAATAGTGTTAGCTCTCATCTCAAGCAATCAATCTCTTACAAGATCAAGATTTCGTCCGACACAGATTGTTGTGCGGACTGCGCTTGGTTGGAAACGGCATGAATTTTCATGCCATGTCCACAACTGGAAAGTACTAGTACGATCGGGGAACCCACGCATCCAATGCTGCCACTGCTAGCGTTAGCGAGCTGGGAATACAAGCAACTATGATAGCATGCGAAAAAGCATCCATCTAGTTTTTGGTGCTCTTGTCATTCAACAACTCTCATCTCATTGCCGTGAGTGTCTTCTACATTCAGCCTAGTAGCGCTCCCTATTACATCTGGGTAAAGCTTTCGGTAACTGGAAGTGAGATATGTGGGCTCTACTGCGTCAGTGTGACTGTTCTTATTCGTCTGTTATACCAATTTATCAAGTTTGCTGCAGATGCCGATACAATCACAGTGACCAGAGAGGAATATCTTTGTGTTTCTGATGCGTCCTTTCCAGCTTTTCTTTTTTTTTTTTTATATGGTTTAATAGCGCTCGTTTATCTTGGAAGATTCACTGAAGTCATCGGCACGGAGAAATCCAAAAGACTGGCCGGAGATGTGGAAGCTTACATTCTATTGAAAGGATGCTGCTTATAAAGGTGCTGGCATTTTTGACTCTAGGGGCGTTAGGAACTGCGATTGCGAGACAAACATCCATTCAGTAACGGATATCTATGTCAATCTAAGAATTTTATAGATAAATATTTGTATACGGGACTATGTACCTAGAATGCAATATTCCGCATCAATCTGCTTTACTACGCACATATGCCAATGATCAAACATATACAAACCCGTATATGGATAGGCATAAAGGCGAAGAGGGGTTTCATTCAATCTGCGGATAAGCAAGGCTCCCTTTCCATTGTCGCGTACCGTCAGGCAATTGATCGAGATGCCGACCTACCTATATGGTTGCAACAATATCGATCTCAATGTGGCGACAGTAAGGAGAGCTGTGAAAATACATAAATACGAGCAGGCATCGGGTCGGTAATGATTTGCGTTCCAAGTATATCTTAGTTTGCATCACTACTGCTGACGCAGGGATCGACCAGCTTTCTGGCCCTCTGTAGTTTTGTTTGAACCCTGTTTGGCAGCTTCCCAATCACAATCTCCATGACCGCCAATCGAGCAACTATTTCAGCCAATTCGTTGCGAACGGTTTCATTCCAGTAGCTTTGATCATACGATGAGATCTCAATTGGCCTGTATGGAACATCATTGCTTTTCATTCTCAAGGAAAGGTGAACCAGAACTGACTTCATTTGGCTAGCTAGTCATGACGTTGTCAGCGGACGAACCAGGAAATCATACTCTGTGATGAGGCGAGTAATTACTTCGCCACGCATTTGAAAGAAAGCGTATTGCTGTCTCCAGCGAGCTGAGTCTTTCCGGGTATTTTCAAGTCCGCTTCGTGTCCAGACATCAGTTTCCGTCATCGGGAGGCTTCACTTTCACTCTCGTCCGCTTAGTTGCTCTTTTAGTCGTCGCCAGAGCAATCGTTTCTGTTCTGGAAAGAGTCGTCCCCTGTTGTATAGCCTCCCCCGGACCTCGACGGATTGCGGGTATCTTCGGGCTTGGAGGACGACAAGGACAATGCACATTGCAATCTTCTGGGAAAGTCTTGTCGTCAATGAGTGTGGGACACTTTGAGAATTCTACCCATTCTCGCGTTTTAGCCACGGGAGACGGCGAGTGTTCCCGAGTTTGCTCGAGTGTACCGTAAAAGAAGAGGGCGCACTGGCTTTAATAGATATTTGTATCGTGTAATCGGAATTGACCACTTATTTGATTGCAATGGGAGGCGCAAGTTCAACTATCTCCCAGCCATACTTTCCACAACCGGGGCTTTATTTAGAATGGATCTCAAGCCATGACTCACTAAATTATCTAAGACCTTTCATCGTTTAGGCCCTCATGTTTTTCCACTGAATTCCACGTTGTCTGCCAAGCCAACGTTGATAGATGATTCATGTGCACTATGGAAAAGGCCAGCGAATGTTGTACGAAAAGAAAGCCAGATTAGAAGAACGTGTTTCAACGAAGCGGTAGAACCATGCTGTGTGGACAAGAAAGTAAGACACCCAGCATTTTTCGCTTCAACGTCGCTGCTCAACACAGCCACCTTCTTTCCAAGGGTACAATAATAACATGAGGGCATGTTTGGACTGGCGAATGGCGAGGGTCTGAGACCAGCTCACCAGACTGAGCCATGGCTCGACATCCAAAAAGGGTCTTTTTTAATGCAACGGTAGGGTCTTTCGTAGTTGACCGAGGAATGAATGGATTTTCAACTCAACAAACCGACACCTCCGAGTTCACTTTGTGTTGTGTTGTTCACGCGTTCTTCCCTCTTCTACCACTTGCCTGAGCATCACCATTTCACCACGTAGCGCATCAAGCTGGCCGGAATGGGAGGAGAAGAATCTTCTCTCTTGGATAGATGCCCACCGGGAGCTGTCATGGAAAGCCCGCTCCGACGCATATTACGAACAACACCGCGTGGCCCGAAGCGCTGAGTCTCTACGGGGAAAGAAGTACCACATTCTGCGGAAGTGTCGTCCCACTGACGCCAGATCTTCTAATCGTTCAGGCAATCAAAAAAAATCAAAATCAGTTCGTGGCTTGGTCGGCCGTAGGGCTTCATTGTCGGCTCTCCCACACAACATTTCTGCCGAAAGCAACATTGACAAATGGTTCGAAACAATCCTCACGGCCGAGGCGAGCCAGACCGACAGCAATGGATCAAGTCATACGAGAACCGCTAGATCAGGTACGAAATACACTTCCTGGTATCACCGGTTATCATTTACTCATTACAAGCTGATCCTCTGTCAAAGGTCGCGCGACGCGAGTATCAATCCTGTCTTGGCCTAGAGAAACTCGATCGTCTTCTTCAATGTGGGACTATGTGCATCGTGTTTGTGCAGCCAGGAAGCTTTAATAGCAGTGAATAGAACGCTTATACTAGCAACAATTTGTTGTCATGCGGTTTACGTCGTGATAACGAAGCAACAGAGGCCAACTATCTCCATCACTAGCCCTGGTGCACGTTGCTATCACAAAAACCCGTGATAGCTCCGCAAGAAAGCCGCAGCGTGAGAAATTCAGTCGTGGCTGTACATATCCCCTCATGTAATTATAAAAACAAGAAAAATCACTCTTCCTTGGAGTCACAACAGCATTGAGAGTGTCCCAGATGTCAAACTTTGCTTTTCTGTTACCGTCTAAAGTGCTGTTATAAATCAGCTATACTTGCACATCCTTTGTGTTTGTCTCTAATCCAACACTATGTCATTGGAGTCCCATGCGGCCTCGAAAATACTGCGGGCAGTGTATAAAGAGTAACAGAACTATTAGTGTCCTCGGAACAAGATCGGGACATGGTAGCAAGGGGGCTACCTAGGAAATTACAAAATTACCTTGTCAGCTGGAGGTATTATCTGTGCTTGCATCTTCAAAAGGATTCGGTTAGATGGGTGGTCGAAGGCAGACTGATCTGTAGAGTAGAAGCTGAGGCATAGGACTTATTTTCGAACCACGCACTAGTCATATTTGACGAGAAGCAAAGGTTTTCCGAGTCAGTCCAAAACTGGCAGACTCAAGTCACGAGGAAATAGATTTCGCGCAGACCGTGGAATCATGAGCGGGCCCGTCGATCAGTAGGCGAATCCCGAATCAAATCGACAGCTAAAGTTTTGATGAAATATGGAAACGCGCGCTCGGTGAGAGAATGCGGCTGTCACAAGGACTCAAGGTTGAACTCAATCGAAAGCTTATCTATAGGCTTCTGCTCTACTTGTTTGTTAGATTCGCGTGATTAAATCTGTCAGAGT